GGGTCGCCCCTCAAAAGTGTGGAGGTCACGAAAGACACAGAGAGGATCAAGAACTTCTTTCTAACAAAGGAGACTAATGGGCATAATTAAATATTAAAAGTCATTAGAACTGAATGTTTAAAACAACACTAATTAAGAGCTATGGGATTTAGCTAAGGAGATACTTGGAGGTTTGAAGAGTCTTTAAATAAGTTTATTGAGCAAGAAGGTAGGTTGAAGGAAATGGCAAACACCCAACTTGACATACTGTTTAAAGCAACTCAAGGAAAACAGAAAAGGAGGTCCATTATAAAAGCAGAAAACAAACACGTACGTGTAGAATCAACAGGAGTCAAATGTTGATCTCCGAAAACAAATAATCAGAAACAACACAGCCATAAACAGAAAGCGAGAGATGGTGGAAATGTAAGAGAGGATTGACATTCCAGGGGTAGCTAAAATTACAACAGCTACAAAGAGATCCAAGGACAAGATCACCTCTAAGCATATTGATCTTTTTTTATTACTATAACAAAATATCTGAAAAAGGTTAATTTAAAAAAAAAGAGGTTTATTTTGGTTCATTATTCTGGAGGTACCAGTTCCAGTAGATCTGGTGGTGCCTAATTGGGAGCAGAATTGAAAGACAAAACAGAGAAACACAAGGAAGTGTGTGTATGTGTGTGTGTGTGTGTGTGTGTATGTATGTACCAGAAGGAGCCAATCATGCTTTTGATCACGAAAATATATCTAATTCTAATTACTTTCCCAAGACCCTGACTCTGTATGCCAAAATGCAGTTCAATTTCCTCCCTTTTCACACTTATAATAAGGATCAAATTTAAACACATGGAGCTTTGGGGAAACCCTCAAATTGTGTCCAAACCATAGCATTAGAGCCAGTGAAACTTTCTGAAAGTGAGAGAGTTAGGAGTACTCAGCCCTATGACATCAGTGCTCATGGGTCTCTGCTAAAAATGACACAGAAAGACTGTAAAAGCCTCGTGGGTGACTCCAGGGAAACTTGTCATTCAGACATACAAGTACTGGTGTACATAGGAAATCACAGAGACTATGGCAGTAACATTCAAGGCCTGCACATATTCAAACCAGACCATCCCAACACTGAGAAGGGGAGGAAGGACCCACTCCTAGCCAAGAAGCTATTTGTAATTGCTAACTGCTGGGAGAGGAACAATCATTTTTCTCTGTGGAGTGTCGCTGGGCATACCAACCACACTCTAGGGCAGACCCCAAGCCCAGGAGTAGATGGTCAGCAGAAACAGACTCCATTTGGGAACAATTTCTGTTTTAATGATTGTCTTGCTGTTTTGTTTGCTTTCTGTTTTTCTTTTTAGTTTGCTTTGATCCTTGGTTTGTTATTGCTTTTGTTTGTTTTTAAAGAGAGAGAGAGAACCTAATGTTGGCTGGGTAGGGAAAGAATATGATCAAAATATATACTGTAAGAAAAAAACAATAAAAATTAGTTTTAAAAGGCATTTTTTAGAAAATTATCAACTCACCAAGAGTAATTCAAGAACAGAAATGGAATCCACACTGAAAACTTCTCCCCTTTGAAAACCAGAGGGGCTTGAGAGATGCCTCAGTGGCCCCCTTTTTGAGGGACCGAGGTTCAGTGCCCAGCACCAACAGTGCAGTTCACTAACGATCTGTGACTTCAGTTCCAGTGGCCCTGATGCCACTTTCCGGCCTCTGCTGATACCAGGTAGGCACATGCTGTGCACACACGTGTGCAGGCGAAACACCCATACACATGAAAGTAAAATATAAATTTAAAAAGGACCAACAAAAATGCAAAGACCAGTCTACCAATAAATCAAAGACATTCTAAAAGGAAAATAACATTCATGTGAATGATTAATTTGAAAAATTATGTAAGTTCACTCAAGAAATAGAATAAAAACAAATGCTGTTCCTGATAACCCTAATGATTTTTAAGTGAAAGAACAACAACAGAAAAAATGGAAATAAAAAGTTACAGGCTATCCTCATAATGAGGGTAGGTACACTTATCTTAGAAGGTATTCCACCAAAATTCCTGATGCATAGACTAAAACTGTATCTGAAGAGTTACATAATGCACAGAATACATCACCCCCCCACACACACACACGCTCGTGCACGCCATCCTTGCCTTCATGTCCAATGCAGTGGCCATCCTCAGGGTACCAGATGCAGGCCATCCAGCCTGATGACCCCCAGCTTCCGGAGGAGGACCGCTGGCTGGAAGGCACAGTCAAGACGCCCCAGCACCAAAGGGTTCACTCACACAAGCTCAGTGCCAGTCTCGGCTCTGCTTGTTGAAGGAAATCAGTTTCTAGATCACGGGGACCCTTAGCTCCTGCAGTGAGGTAAGGAGCCTTGGGGTGTGTCATGCCCCACAAAATTAAAATCACAACAGCCAACGTTGTTTTCACAAAGAGGGTAAAAGGGCTCCAAATTTCGTGAAAAGGCAGATGGGAGATGGGAAGAACCTGTTTTCGACAGTATAACTTCCTGATTTTGCTAGTCTATGGAGAGTTTGGCGGAGTGCAGATGTGTTTGGACTTGAGGTATTTTCTTTTTGCTTGTTTTTCTTTCTATTCTTTGAAAGTTTCATATAAGTATATAATAAATGTAGTCTATTTTAATCTTATTATCTTGTCTACTCCCCCAACATTTACTAAAATTCTTTTTTCCCCCTGAAAAGCTCCCTCCCTGCTTTTATGTGCAGATTCTGCACATCCAACCCTGAGTTTGTGACTGCCTGCTTGAGCGTGGATGGAAGGTTATTGACCGGAGCATGGGCAGTTTTCTGGTGATGATGTAACTGCAGAAAGTAACACACACCTTCTCCCAGCCAACAACTTCCAATAAGTATTCCCTCGGAGAGCAGGATACCTGTGGGAGCCTTTTCCTCATCCATGATGAAACTGTGATGGATAGGTCCAATCCTGTGCAGGTCTTCTGCAGGTTACCATAGCATCAGGGAGGTCAGGGATGTGTGGCCAATGCTGTTCTGTAGGGGACTAGTCCTTTCTGCTTCAGGAAAGTATGGAATCTAACTGCACATGGAGACACAGGGTTCTCTGGTGTCTACCCTTAGTTAACCCAGTTGTGCAGGTCAAAGAGACCGGCCTCTCAGGAGGTCGGGTCCACCTTATGTCATGCTAAGGAGAAAAGAGGAATGCCCTGACTTGTGACCCTTTGTCCAGCCTGTGACTGACCTCTGTGTCAACCTAACTCAGCTAGCTTTGCTTCCTCTCTTCCTCTTCGTCCTCTGGGCGGCTGCTCAGGTTTTCCTTCTAAACTCTGATGAAATTATTTGGGAGCTTCTGTTTAGCCCATTCATAACATTCCATTAAAAAGACCAAGAACTCCAGTAAGAGATGCCCAACTTCTCCAGTAGCATGTACTGACCCTGGGGCAGGGGGGGACTCCCCAAAATTTCTAGTCTCATTCTCAACCCCTTCCTCTCACAAGCTCTCCACCCCCATGTCTCTGATGTATATATATATATAGTGAAATGTCCTCCTCCACAGGGACATTCTAAGCCTCCAAGGATCAGATCTGATGAAAACACATGGAGGCCTTGGCGGTACTTTGACTTCTGAAACTGTAATGAGGTTGTTATGAATCTCTACCGAATTGACCATTATTTTTGAAAGCCTTGACTATGTCCCTCATAGCCAAGATACTTTGAGTGAAAATTAACGAAACTCTTTTCACTAACCGTCAGGGGAGATAAGCAGGCAGAGAGGGCTCTGGGAATGTGCAGCAAAGATGACGGGGACGGGATCTCAGCCGTGCAGAGGGTGGCACTCGGTAGGAATGGGGAGGATTCACCAATGACCCTTTCCTGTGGCAAAGAAGTGGTGGGGTTTCTGCTACCATCTGGTGTCTTTGTGCACTGCACGTTTTGTTTGCATGTCATAAAGTTTTCTAAAGCATCATGCCACAGCGTTTTTCTACTTAGTCTCTGCTCGTGGGAGAACTTGTGTGACACAGACAGGACTGCTCCATGAATTTGACTACACGGTTACACTCCACAACAGGGACACAGCTTAAATCTTTGCAATGTGTTATCCTGGGACTGAGTGTTTGCAAGTGCCAGCCAAGACCCTCCAGGCTCATGTCCCTCTAGGCTTATCCCCACATTCCCACCAAGGGGGTGACTTGGAAGTGCAGCAACGTTCCTTATATGATATTCAGTGACACTTGCTACCACTGAGAACTTTGTTTCTACAAATATGAGGCCTGGTGTAATTTCCAAGTCCTAATGAAATCAGACATCTGCTCACTTTTCTGTGTGAGCTCAGTGTTTAATGCTCCTGTGTATTTCACTGTTTCTCCATGTTCTCTATCAACCCTACAGTCTCAATGCTACGTAAGTTATTAGGTTTAAATTTAAATTTCATGGTAACTATGTTTGCCAATGGCTATTAACACTCCAAAATGACAACAATGTATTTTAATTGTACTTTACCAAAAAAGCTCGTCATTTTGAAATCATCTGCATAGGTGCTTGCTGTTAGGTTTTGTATACATTTTTGTAATACAGTGACTTATGTTGCAATCTATTGTTAAGGAAAGAATGCTGATTAATACTGCAGTTTTTCAATGACACAAAATTACTGTTTTGGGATACAAAAATAATTCAACCTCAAAAGATAACTTAAATTTAAAGGAGATACTAGTGTTTGTGAAAAACAGCTTTATTGTGTAGATGGGCATTCATGAAAACCAAACCCTTTGCTGTGTTGCTTTTCTTCTTAAATCCTCCCTCCTTGTGTGGAGGAAGCCACTCACCCTAGCCCTTCCCTCTCTAGAATGCACTAGCTCACATCTGCTTCAAGGGACGAGTCTCTCATCCTGAAATCTTTTTTGGGTTTTCTAGGGCCTGAAAAAAATCACATTAACTCTATCCCCTCCAAACTGTCCCTTTTATCTCCATGTCTCCCTCCTTTCCTTCCTCTGCTTTTGTATAGTATAGTTTTTTTTTAATGACCTGATACTTTCTGTTTTTACCTTCTCATTTATTTCACCAAAACTCAGCGCCAAGAAACCAGGACTCTTGAATCTTCCAAATCCACAGAGCAGCAGCAAGACGCCAGTACACAATAAATGCAATGTGAATGTTAGATCACGTTTGAGGAAGGCGCATATTTTAGATAAGTTAGTCTATTCGATGCTAAGAAAGTACAGCGGTCAAGAAGGCACATATTTTAGATAAGTTAGTCTATTCGATGCTAAGAAAGTACAGCGGTCAAATCCAGATGATGGACGCAACTTTTACGGCTATAACAATTGTCTGCAGTTCATACCACAGACACACATTTCTAAGTTGAAGGTGTTTTTTTGGTACAACTAATTGATGGGGTTGTGAATTGAAGACAGCATGTTTTGTACACGGCAACAGGTGAGTGGAAATACAGTTGGCCACAAACATTAGCCTGCCAGGTGTCTCAGAGGTGGGACAGCCAACAGTGACACCTTTATTTTCCCCTTTCACTATCTAAAGGGAGTTTTTGTAAAGCAAGAATGCTATGATCCAATCATGTTCCCTTGCTCAGTTGTCAATTCTGTTACTTAGAACTGACATCTGGAGCTATTCATATTACAACGCAAGTAAGAGACGCTTTAAAATGTTTCACTTTGCAAAAAAAGAAATCATTTCCCCCAAAGTCTATAAAACGTTTATTTGTGTTTAAATTTCTCTGTTTCTGATATCTGTTGTCTTAAACCAAGTCATCTAGGGCCTGCATTGCTCACGAGACCCGGCACTGACTTGGCACAGAAGATTCTAATTTCCTTTTTTGTTTACTTTCTATTTTGCTTTTTCCCCCATAGTTTTTCTGATGTCTAGGTCATTTTCTTCACTGAAGCAGTTTCATGCTTTCTCCTGCTCAACTTTAGGCCGTGGGAACCCCAGCGACACTGCCCACCGCCTGCTGGGGAGTCTCTTTAGCTTGGTGGGCTTGCAGCACAGCGATGGCTTCATCGATTTTGGTGTGGAGACACTCTGGAGACTCAAGCATGTGGCGCAGTTCCAAATTGTCAATCTCCAGCAGCATGCCGGTGATTTTACCAGCCAGAGCGGGGTGCATGGCCTGGATGAGGGAAAACAGCCATTCCCCTAGCATTTGCTTTTGCGTTTGAGGAGAAGCCGACGCCAGCATGGAGGCCGTCAAAGACGCTTTACCTGGGGCAGGGAGCGCAGACCGCTGCTGCATGGTGACTTGGGGCTGTGCTGCTGCACTAAGATGCTGAGGGGGGTTCCGGACTCCCGCCGTGTACTTATACTGGGGAACTGTGCGGGCAGCAGGAGCAGCTGCAGCTGCGGGATGCGAGCCCACCATCTGTGTGGATGCGCTGGCGGCACGATGTGTGGGCATACTCCGGAGAGCCTGCGAGGAAGCTGGCCCTGAAGCACTAAGCGACGACGGGATAGTAGACGGCTGGATGGCACTGGACACACTCTGGAACGGATGAGCCCTGGCACCCTGAGCACTCCCACGGGGGCCCGGTCCCTGCTGAGTGGTTTGGCTGGGGGCGTAGTACGCCCCACAGTTCTGAGTCTGCGGTGTGGCTGCCACGAAGTAGCCCGGAGGAGCCTGAGCTGCCTGGAAAGGGTTGATGACCGGGCTGGACACCTCGCTGACGTTGCCTGCCATCCTTTGCATGTACTGATTGCTGAGGTGGGCCTGGCGCTCCTCTTTGCGCTGGGCCAAGGCTACGTAGAGGGGTTTGGTGGCCACGATCCTACCGTTCATTTCTGTAACCGCTTTGGTGGCCTCTTCCGGGGAGGAGAAGCACACGAAACCGAACCCTTTGCTGCGGCCGCCCTCCGTGGTAACCTTGGCGCTGGTGATGGTACCGAACGGGGAAAACTCCTTCCGCAGACGCTCGTCGTCGATGCCGTCGTCGAGGTTCTTCACATACAGGTTGACACCCTGGCCCCGGGCGCCGCTGTCTTGGGGCGCCTGCTCTGCCTTGCGCTTATCTTGCTTCGTCTGCCCGAATTTGTGCTTCAGTTCCGTCTGCCGCTCCCCTTTCTTCTGAGCCCGGCCCACGTAGATCTGCTTTCCGTTGAGGTCTTTCCCGTTCATCTCGTCCACCGCCTTCCGCGCGTCCTCGTGCCGTTCAAAGCTCACGAACCCAAACCCCTTGGACTTCCCGCTCCCGTCCGTCATGACTTTGACGCTTAAGGCGGGCCCGAACTTGCTGAAGAGGCCCTGGAGTCGCTCATCATCCACGTCGTCCCCCAAATTCTTGATGTAGACGTTGGTGAACTCTTTAGCCCGGGCTCCAAGCTCGGCCTGCCGGTCTCTCCGGGACTTGAACCGCCCGACGAACACCTTGCGGTCGTTGAGGGACATCCCGTTCATCTTCTCGATGGCGCGCTCCGCCTCCTCCTGCGTCTCGAAGTGCACGAACCCGTAGCCCTTGGAGCCGCTCTCGTCGCACACCACCTTGCACGAGAGGATGTTCCCGAAGGCGGAGAACGTGTCGTACAGGGCTTTGCTGTCGATGGACCTGTCCAGGTTTTTGACGAAGATGTTGCCCACCCCGCTTTTGCGCAGCGACGGGTCCCGCTGAGACCACATGATGCGGACCGGCTTGCCCTTGATCACGTCGAAGTTCATGGTGTCCAAGGCCCGCTCGGCGTCCTCCAGCTGCTGGAAGTTGACAGACGCGTAGCCCAGCGAGCGGCGGGTGGTCCTGTCCCTGTAGACCCGGATGGAGAGGATGGGCCCCGCAGAGCTGAACTTCTCGTAGAGCATTGCCTCGGTCACGTCGGGGTGCAGGTCCCCCACGTAGAGCGAAGCCAAGGAGTAGCTGGGGTCGCTGGGGTTCATGGCGGACACAAAGGCTGGGCGCGGAGAGGGACCAGCGCAACCGGAATGGAAAGAGCCTCAACCGCCTGGAACTTACTCGGCTGTCCAGGCACGGGCGGGGCAACTTCCGGTTGGGTGCGAGCCTGCACGGCCTTAAGGAGCCAGGTCTGGGTGGAAACAGACCTCCATATTGCTGGGTTCCGGACACGGGTGCCTGGTTGGTTCTGCCTGGTCTCCCCATTATGGGATCAAAGTATTTTGGTGCAGAAGACATGGATTTAAGGATTTCCTACTTCTTTTTCTATTCTTTATTTAAATGGTGTGTGTTTGGGGGTGGGGGTGATAATAAATGTTTGCTCTGAGCTTAAAGGGTGCACTTGGTGTGTTCTGCGCAGGCTTCAGGGAATGGTCGAGGGAGCTACTCAATTCCTGAGATCAAGTAAGAGTTCAAAGTCACAATGCCTCCAAGAATAATACCCGCTTAGCATAGTCTAGCTCAGTCTAGAAGGTTGATAACAGGCGAATGCAAACACACAAAGAGAAGGTAGGGGAGAAAAACATCCACTTTGAGGTAGTTTTCCAATCATATCGCAAAAGAAAACTTTCAATGTTTTTGAGAACTTAGAAATTAATCAAACAAATATAGTAATTTAATAGAATAAAATACTTTTAAAAGAAATTAGTCAAGCTGGAAATCCCCCATCCCAGTCAGTGCAATATGCTATAGCAAATTATAGAGTAAAAATCGACACTTGGGAGTCCGAGATCACGATGTTAGTAGAGTGTGTCCAGTGTGTGTGGGGGGGGAGGTGGGGGTGTTCTCTTGAACATAGGTGACAGTCCACTACAAACTCAAAAGGTGGAAAGGAGGAGAAAGGCTTTCTAGACACTGCCGAGGAAAACAAAATTCTCCCAAAAGCCAAAACCTCAGTGATTAGATTTCACTAAATAAATTTCAAGGTGGAAAAAAAAATTTGGAGCACAGTGATGGCTCTCAGTTTGGCTGCTTTACTTATGGGATTTTTTAGAACACAAAAAAGAAGTGGTCTCCTGTTAAGGTGTTTCACATTAGTGACATCAAAAATATGAAAATAATGTACCATAGGCTCAAACTTCATACTTCAGTCTAATTAAACTCATAATTTAGAGAGCTATGAATTGACTCTCTGTTGGCATATACTTTATTCCAGATGCAACTAATTAGTAATAGGAAGATAGTGGCTTGGGGATGTTTATGTTATGTGGTGGGGAGGAATATCTAATAAGCTACCAAGAGAATGGCTCTGGGAGAAGGGAGGATGTGTGAAGAGCATCCCACCCTCATGCTAAGCATTTCCTATGTCCCTTAGTGGGATCGTTTATTATTATCATCAGTGCCTTTGTGTGATAATAGATAATGTTTACACTTTCCAAAAATATTTTATATGCACAATGGCATAATATGTCTTCAATGCCACCAGTAACACCACATGTTTCTAAACAAGAAACTGAATTTCTGAGAAGCCAAGGTACTCAAAGGAAGTCACTTTTGTTTGCCAACTATAAGCTATAGCTTACTGTTCCATTATCCCTAATGATCTTTGCCTGAATGTACATTTTGTTGCCAATTCAATTCATAAGAAATTAGAATCTCTCAAAAACTAGTACAGTGTTATAAATAAAAAGCATGACGTTAATGTCAACTGATATTCTCTATTTCATCAATATCAGTGTGTCCTTGGATATTCACTTTCCCTCCCTATTGCTTTCTGGGCAGCTGTTCCATCGATCACAAAGCCACATACCCAGCCCTTAATCACGGAGCTATTTCACAGTGGGTAGTTCATAGACATTTCAGAAGCCCCTGTTCCGTGCAAGCAAATTTTCAAGTGTGAAACTCTGGTTGGTTGTAATATATAAAAACAAAGTTGATCTGCAGATGTTGTCTACATAGCTACTTTTTTTTTGTCTTCTAAACAGTACTATTCGGGGGTTTCCTTCTATCACATGGATCTAACTCAGTCCAGACACCAAGGCTTGTGAAGTCTCCAACGGAATAATCTGTGCACAAAGAATCGTTGTCATCAAAGGAAGATCATAGGCCAAGCTGGCTAAGAACAAGCTGCCATATAGAATTAATGAAGTCAATTTTCTCTTCTAACAAACAACAAAAAAGTGTGTTTTGTTCAAACAAAGAAAGAACCAAAAGCAAATCCCAACAAAACTCCCTACCAGACCTAAGGCCGAGCCTGTGTTTCAATTGCTTCAAATGCTCCCTGTGCTCTGAGGATTCGGCACAATCCACTGACTCCGCATGCTTATGGACTCCTCATGTCTCGAACTGGAGCTGGAGCCCGTCTGGTGTTTCCGTTTTAAACACTCTCATCTTACAGACTGAGACTCTGAAAATATGCACCTCCTCTAACACTCCTAAGTGATAAACTGAAGACATTTAGTATGTTGTCTTATTTAGCCGTGTTTTTAAAAAGAAAATAAAATAACTGCAAGGAGACAATTACAGTCAAATTAAGGGAGACAGGTATTATATTATTTAAATGTGCAATTTAAAACCACATATTGAGAGTTACAGCCCATTAATGTAAATTATTTCACAGTGAAAAATATCTAATTATCTCTCCCAGATAAGAGATATAAATGTAAATGCTTCAACCCAATCGTAATAAGCTGAAGGGTGAAGGGCTACACAGTTAGATGCTAAGAAGGAACCCAGAGTTGAATTGTCTGTGAAATTTGCCCACGTGTCTCCGGTGCGCTATTCTTGACGGTTTTCTTACAAAACAAGGTAAGAAGAATGTATTAGATTTTTTTTCCTGTGTTGGAACTGCATTCTTTTATGAGCAATTATTTGGTGTGGTAAGTGATGACATTAACTTAAAAAACACTCAGCTATCATGGTTCTCAGTAAGACATGTCTGCACAAGTTAGTCTACATAAATTAATGGTAGGGATGTTTCACCTGCAGTTAAGTGCAAGCATTGTAGGGTTTAAGATATTGAAGATTTTAAACACATGCAGAAATGGTTCTGTATTACAAGGAATGTTCCTAAAACCCTTGGAAGTGCCCCTTGTCATAAAGATTTGTTTATTGGGCATATCTAGACTAGGGGGTGTCTATGCTTATTTTTCTACTTATATAAAGCTGAGTCTCTGTTGCAAAAGCAACAGAACCCAGCATCAGGGATATTGGAGCCTGGGTACACTGTTTGGTTATAAAACTATTGGTTACCAAATGAAGGGCCCAAAAGCAGGGTTCTGATTGGCTTTATTGGCCAAGCTGACACATCCCAGAGTCACCTGAGAAGAGACTCGGTAACAGATTGTGGGGAACTGTCTTAACTAAGTTAATTATGCAGGGGCAATCCAGTCCACTGCTGGTAGCGCCACTCCCTATGCCCTAAGCTGCAGAACAGTGAAGAAACTGAATCAAGCAGAAGCAGAAAGTGAGCACGTACGCATCCTTTTTTTTTTTTTTTTTTTTTTGTCTATGATCTTGACTGCAAATGTGATGTGACCGGCTCCTTGAGGTTCCTGTCATTAATTCTACCACAACAATAAACTGTATCTGGAACTCCGAGTTCAAATAGACCATTTCTCCCCTAGGTTGCTTTCCATCAGGGTGTTTTATTAGAGCAACAGAAATGAAGCTAGAGTACAATGGTTTCTGTTATCAGAAGAATAGAATAAATAGCTCCTTCCACAGAAGAAATTATTTTGCTCACCTTTCCCTTCCGTCTAAGGTTAATTATTCCACAAAAACAAATTTAATGGGATAACATCATCTTTCACATGTGCTTTAGCATTTTCCCACTGGCTTCAGTTTAATACAAAGGCTGTGGATTTATTTGGCAGGAACATGCTGCTTCATACAGGACTAAATTATCAGAGCTCCTTCTTGTGGCAAGAAGAGTGGTGCCTTAGGGTAAGTATGTTTTAAGTACAGATGGGAGACAATACCACCTCACACTTTACCTATATAGCTAAAACCAACATGAGTGTCATATCCATTGGCCGTATGGACACTAGAACATGCTAGGGGGAAAGGGATGGCAGCTCCAGACACTGGTAATTTGGTAATGACATCACTGCCACTTGCACCTGTGGCTAGAGTTTATGGTGCTGGAAGGAGCTATACCAGAGAGAAAAGCATCAGTCTTACGCAGCTATGGACACTGAGAGCTACAGCAGTGGCCTTCCTGGAAGATATGCCAACATATCACAAGGCCAAGAGTACCCAGAGTAACCATTCTTTTTTATTAGGTTTAAGGACAGCTGCACTAATGGGACCCACACCTGTCACAGTCAATGAGGCTCGATAGATCATGCACCCTAGTGGGGAAGCTATTGCCCGTTATTCTGCTAAGTGGGAATATCAGCACAATGACCCCTTGTGCCATAATGTTCTACCCAAAGAGCGGCGTACCGCTCAACCCTCACCAGAGATGCTTTCTTCTTGCAGCGAATGGTAATTAAGGCGAGACTGACAGCTGCACAACACGCAGAGAATGAAAAAGATCATGGAATGTTCAGCCCTAAGTGGGCTGCCTGCATCACAACATGTCCCCAGAGCTCCAGGATGTTTGCAGGCGTGGTAGAAAGCCTGTAGGAGTCAGAAGATGTGGCTGCAGTCAAGGAGACAGCATTTTCCAGACACAACAGGGCAGCTGCACACATATCAAGTCGCAGAGGTGGTGACAACACATACAGAACCTGCACAAACTCAACCCAGACAAAATCGGAGCACGGGAGACGGGAAGTAGGCATCACTGCCTTTGATTGCTGCCGGTAGCAGAATGGGTTCCCTTAAATGGAGTGATAGCTAGGGCAGCAGCCTCACTCCAGAGCACATGGCATGCTCACGAGTAGTTGGCAAGCACGAACTTCACTCCATGGCCGTCCGTTTTGAGACAGAGATAGGACATGAGGTCGGGTGGGCAGAGTGCTGTGGAGACTGGGGAAGATTGGGAGAGTGAGATGTACATGAACAGAAATGTATGAAATTCGCAAAGAAGAATCAAAGCATTATTTTCTTTTAAAGAACCCCCTTAGCAAATATTGGAGGCTTCTTTGATTTATGTTCTCACATTGGGAAGCAGGCTCTCTGCTTGTT